TCGGTTTGGTTGCGGTTCAGGATTTTCCCATATCAGTTCGTGAACCGAACCATCCCTACATATAAGGGTAAAGAAGCCAAACAAAAAAGTAAGGTTTGACTTTTTAATAACAATGTACAAGATCGTATGTACAAAATGTATTGACATAAATCAGAGACATCAATCCTCATTCACAATTATATTATTGTTAGACACTTATGCTTGTATGATTTCATATTGGAGCTATACAGAGTTGAATAGGTTCTTTGTATATTAATTATTAATGATAAAAGGAGATTTAAAATTATGTGAAGATGAGTGTTATAATACTCCATAAATAAGTGAGAGTATCACATTCTAGTGTAGGTAACAGACCAACAATCATTTTTTTTATCATTTTCTTATATTTGAAGCACTCTAGTGTAATATGAAGTATTTTTAGGAGATGGTTGCATTTATTTTTTAAACTGCTTCTGCTTCTTCAGAAAGCAAAAGTAAATACTGAAGTGTTTGAATGAAAGAGTAGAAATACTTTGATTACTCCAAATTGTTTATTGAATCAATCTTTTAAAAACTGATTATAATTTTTTTTATGCTTTTCAAAAAGAAACACAAACTATTCAATCATTGTTATGCGGCCTTCCCTCAGCGTAGGGTTTGAGACCTCCGCTGATGCTGTGCGGTAAGAATACAAATCGAATGGAGAATGAAGCAGGTTCAGGAGAGAAAATGTCACAGAGGAAGGCACTGGAGAGAGGGGGCCTTCTCTCATTCGATCAGGGCGCTCCATGACGGGGATGGAGAGTCCTCAGCGGCGGTGGGTGCAAGCAACGTGGAGAAATTGACCGATCAGTACGACGGGTTGGGTTTGGGGTGTCTGGAGGATGAATTGTTTCTAGATGACGAGGAAGAGACGGAACCCGATCCTGCAGTAGCGAACAAGGTGGTGGACACCTTCCCCTTGGTTGGTACGATCCTCACGGGCAAAGTTGTGAAATTCCAAATCTTACGGGATTTGATGGCGTCTTTGTGGCGTCCGGGTAAAGGTGTACTGATTCAAGAGATTGGGAAAAAGAGGTATCTGTTTACTTTTTATCACATAATTGATATGAACCGTGTACTGGATAATGGTCCCTGGCTATTTGATCAGAACCTGTTAGTGTTGAAAGCTATTAAGCAGGGATATATGCCTTTAAGAGTGCCCCTAGATAGGCTGATTTTTGGGTACAGGTGCACAACATCCCCTATGGATATTCAAATCTGGGTAATGCCCGTAAAATTAGGAATCACTTGGGAAATTTTATTTCATGGGATGACAAACAATTTGATAAAAAATGGGAAGCCTATATGAGGGTGCGAGTGATGTTGGATGTGAGGAAACCATTAAAAGTGGGAACAACTCTAAAAAAGGGCAAAAAGGAAGGTTAATGGGTTGACTTCAAGTATGAGAAGCTTCCTAGCTTTTTTTGCGTGCGGATTTATAGGACATGCTGAAAAATTTTGTCCCTTATTGTACAAAAAAGGGGATAAGGCTGTTGCGAGATCATTTGGACCATGGCTGCGGGCGGGTGGAGGGCGACCTCGCCTTTCTTTGGGTAATAAATGGTTAGTGAGCGAAGGAGGGGGGGGGGGGGGGGGGGGGGAAGAGACCACGCGGGATTGCAAAGAAACCTTACAGAAAAAAAAGGAACACGGTCAGAATCACACAAAGGATAAGACTCAGGAGGAAGAGGATGAATCCAAGCTTGAGGACGCACGAGGAAATAGCAGCGGAATGGGAGAACAGAAACGGATGCGGACCTAGGAGGCACATGAGTAGGAGCAGGAGCAAGCAGAAGAGGATGCCATGACTCTGGATGGAACAAAAAACAGGGAAGAGGGGGGCTGGAGCACCCAGACCTGCCTAAGTATGTGAAGATCGCATGCTTCTCGCAGAATGTAGTAATTTTTTATTTTAAGTTGATTTCCCTCATTATTGGTTTTTACTTTAGACATCATGTTTTTTTGTTAGCATTTAATTTTGTTTACGTCAAGACTCTAGAACATAAGATTGATGATGGAGAGTCTAGTTTGCTAGTCATTGGCTCAAGTAAGCTCAATTTAGGATCAACGAATCTGGTTGCTTCTTTTGAGGTGGCATGTTCTAAGTCTGGTTCAAGGGCGAACGGTAGACAGTTGACTCCTTGTCTGGTTGTATCCTGCTTACGTTCTTTATCTATATATATAATATAATAAAGCTAACCCTTGGAGACCTCTTTGGAGAAATAATTGACATGTGACATCATCTTTTGTAGAAAAAATGACATGTGGCAACACCATTAAACAAAAACTATTCAACTTCCAAACCTCCACTCATATGTATTCCAATAAAAATTTAGATAAAAATTTATTTGTACTATATATAAGCAGTGTTCTAAAAGGCGTTAGACGCTAGTCGAGCGGTAACTGGCCGCCTAGTGCCTAGCCCGCCTAGGTGGCGACTAGGGCGCCTAGGCATTTTTCCTTTATTTTTTATTTTCTTTCTATTTCCTTTGAATTTTAATCATATTACTAATAATTTCATAATAATTTGACAATAGAAATAGCTCATATAATCATAAAATGTTAAGTTTTTATAGTAGAATCATCAATAATAAAATAATTAATAAATAAATTAAGATATTTGTGTTTTTTACTCTCTAAAAATCTAAAAATACATTCCAAAAAGTTTATTTATATTTAAAATTTATTTTTTATTGTGGGAATATGAAAATAAATTATATGGGAATATAATACTTCTTGATCACACGATGTTTTAAGATAAAAGGAAAAAAGTTTGTTCGGGAAAAAAAATTAGTTGAGACCGCTTAGCCACCGCCTTGCCCGCCTAGACGGGCACGTAGGCCGGTTTTTAGAACCATGTATACAAGTTAGGAGTATTATATATATGTATATTTATATTTATGCATCACAACGTTGTGTATAAATATAGGTAAAAATTTGCACTTGAGAGTAGCACGTAAATTGAAAATTATACTCAAATATAAAAAATAAATAAAAAATTTTAGCCTCTTAAAATAAAAATATTCCTCTCATACTTCTTTTTCAACAAAATCTTGCGGGTTTCAAAGGGTGCTCTGCGTATCAATGTAGAAAATAAGAATCTTATCATGATTGGTGGATGTGCACACATATAATTAAAACAATGTGTACTTTGAATGGGCATAAAAGATAAAACTTATCTACAAAATGCCACTTCATTTTTTTATTTATCGTAGTGCACATTTCTGGTTCACATAATGAGCAACTCTGAAATCTAATGCTCCAAATTCATTCTCATTTTTCTTCTTAGATCATCTTCACATTTGATCCAATTTATATACGTAGTGTGTGTATGTGCATGTGTGTGTGGGTAAGCAAAAGTCGTCCAATGAATTTGGAGGCTCCGGTTTCAAATGTAATAAAATCGAGGCCCCACATTAATATAAAAATAACAATCTTAATACATACACTCAAATAAATTGAATAGTCATTAAATAATGTAGTTAAAAAATCTAAAATTTACTTTATACTTGGTTTAAAGCAACACGCTTCATTACTCAAGCAGTTTGAATAAAAGAGAAGTTAAAGGACCGATGAAAAATGATATATCTGTATTTTTCTTTCCTTCTCACTGTATTTCACCGATTAATGTTAATATATAATATAACTATATAATACTAATGAACTATTAAAAACTTGGGGACCCATTATTCGAGGGATGTGTTCTGTAGAACCTACTGTATCTCTTAAAAAATTCCTGTGTGTAAGTAGTAATAATAGGAAATATAAGAAATCAGAATACTAAACACACCATAGTTGATAAGTTTAATTAAAAAAAAATTATTAAATCAATAGAACTAATTGTACAAAAATAAGGTTATAATTAGATTTTTGAGTATATATGTGCAAACAATGAATACTAACTGTTAAAAAGTTATTTTCAACTACAGAATAAAAAATATGCAAGAATAATTTATTTGAATGGTTATTATAGAAATAGTAGTTCAATGAAGGTTGCTGTTAAATAGTAAGTACACAATAGCAAATAATTTTCGTAGTAAACAAACAATAATTAAGATAGTGAAAGTCACACTAGATGTTTATATTTTAACCAAATCGTAAGTTGCCAAATCGCAAGTTGTATAGTCAACCACCTATGCATGGTGACCTACAAAACGAGTGAGTTAATCGGGTTATTAAAATGCAATCCACCGTGAAACAAGCAAGCCCCATGGAGTTGGACTCATTTTGACATGTATATATAGTCAATTGAGTTCTCTTTTATACTTCGTTTGGCGAATTATATACAATCCACGATCCCTATGAATTTAAGAAAAAATTTAAACACATATCTTACTGTGCAGTGCACGAGTACACACTAGTTATCAATATAAGCCATCTTCTTAAAAAAAGACAAACTTAATCAATTCTAAACACTCATTAATTGTTGCAGATGAATATACCTTTTGTGGATAGCCTAGGTGTTCTTGAACTTGTCACACGTGGCACTACTCATACAGAGACATGCAGGGGTAGAGCCGGAGATCAGGGTGGTCATCTGACCTTGCTGAAAGTTTGAGAGTATAAAGCTCTGAATTATCTTCGATTTGATATATTATGGCCCCCGTAACTCATTACGAGTAAAAAATTATGACTTCTGAAAAATCATCACTATCTAAACGTAAAATCAATAAAATTTGATGCATACTATAGATTATTTTCCCAAATTTTAAAAATAGGATATAATCCACTCAATACTTACGTGATATGACTCAGAAACAGAACAAATACAATCTATCTTATTGCTACAAATGGCTATTTATCTAAACTGCATATGAAATATTTAACTCGGGCATTGTTTAAAAACGATCGATCATATTCGACCCCTCATTGAGCCGTTTTTCTGGCTCGGAGCCATCTGTCAAAAAGGACGTGGTGCCATGGAATATTCTAAAGTGGCTTGCACCCCTACACGTGGCTAGCACCGAGTTCATGCGTGGCGAAAACGGGCGGGTCAAAGCATGAATGTTGGACATTGACGACGTTTACTTTTATCGCCATCCTGCCGCGTTATTCTGTCAGGCGCCATCCGAAATCAAAGAAGGTCAATTCCAGGTTCATCTGAACCCGCTCCAATGACGTGCAGTGATGGATGCGTAAATAGGATTCCGTATTGAAGAGCCGGGTCGGAAATTCCTCCCGGATCATATATACCCACCTACCCGTTCATAATAGGAAACAAAAACCATTTCTTTCAAGATTGGGGCAGTTGGATAACAGAAGGTACAATGATACATCACGTAGTTATAGTGCTTCTTCTCCTCTGGCTGCTCAATTCCTTCAATTCCTGCCACCCTTTTGCTTATTTTATCTCCATAGTGTATATCTTTTTGGTAAGCATAATCATTCACTCATCCTTGTTATATGGAGAAATGTTTTAAATTTTTGATTTAGTTACTGATTTTGATGACCATTATGATATTTGAAGATTCATGAGAACTATGTGACTAGATTGAGGAGGAGACTGCAGTTTGAGGAAAAAAAACAGTCGTATCAAAGACGGGTGATTTTCTCTCACTCTCTCTGTGATTTTTTCATAAAGCTTTGAGCTTTAAAGGTATAAGGTAATGGAAAGTGGAAGTAAAAAAAGCTCTTAATTTAGTCAAACTTGAATTGTTTTTTTTACGAGGAACGTTTTTTCAAGATTAGAATATTGGGTTTTGTGTTTGTTCTCTAGGATTGGAAATTGATCCTTTGATGCATTGTGAACGGGTTTTCTTTGTCCTCTTTCTTTTCTCCAGGTTCTATCTGATTCAGAAAGTGTAAGATGGTTGAATCACGCGCTAGAGAAACTCTGGCCTGTTTGTATGGAGAATATTGTCTCTCAGAAATTTCTCCTCCCCATCATACCATGGTTCATGAAAAAATATAAGCCCTGGACAGTGGTAAGGCTTCACTTTAATTACTTGATTACTTATTTAAGAACTCATTATTAGTGTTGATCTGAAGTGATTTTTCCGACATTAAGTTTTTATGTTTTTCAACTTCATCTAAAGCTTATGATGTGTCTTTAATTTGATGAGTATCCTTTTGTTAGATAACAATAGTATAAATATAAACATCATAATAACATACACTTTTTTTCTCTACATGCAGAAGAGTGTTGTTGTTCAGCACTTATACTTGGGAAGATGTCCACCTATTTTCACAGAAATGAGAGTTCTTCAGAATTCAACAGGCGATGATCACTTGGTTTGTCACTCATTTCAGCATTAACATTTATCAAGGGTGGAAATTTGGCTCAATATTTGTAAGGTTAAAATAACAAAGGCTTAATGCGTGCCAAAATATAGACGAGTCTTCAATGAAACAAATGTATAATAACCGAATCATGTACTGAAATGCAATATTTGCCCCAACTAAATACTTTAATGATTAGATTGGCTATCCAATTCTCACTTCAGACTTAGAAAGATGTTTATTAAGCTTAGATGTTATAGTTTAAATTAAAGGTTTACTCACCTAACTCGTAAATGATAAAAAATTGTCTGATTTGTCTCTTCTAAGTTTCATTTTTTTAATGTGCATTTGCTGCATAGTACACTAAGCTCTTGTAATGCATTATACTATCAGTTCTTAGTTCTCAATTACTTTTTGATTTTTTATAATGGAAGTACTTATTGACTTTGTTCATCAAATAAACAAAAAACGATTTATTAATGGAGAAGCAAAGATAAAGAATCTAATAAAAAGTTCAAGAATATTGAAGTCATGAAGTTAACATAAATTTGGAAGAGTTGGAGTCATGAAGTTAACATAAATTTGGAAGAGTCTGTATAATTAATCACTCCGTATTTCATATGAAGTAATGAAAGTGAACCTATCCCCATATACCTGTATGTTGCATGAAGTAATAATTTTTAGGGAAAATCGTACTTTTAGTCCCTGAAATAGTCACATATTGAAATGTCGGACCCATATTTATGAGATTGTAAATGTCACCCCTCAATTGTCTAAATTGTTGTAAATGTGGTCCTTCGAGGGGTGAAATGTACTCCTCGTGCACATTGTACATTTCACCCCTCAAAGGACCACATTTATAGCAATTTGGGCAATTGAGGGGTGACATTTACAAACTGGGGAACACGGGTCTGACATTTCAATATGGTGACTATTTCAGGGACTAAAAGTGTGATTTTCCCTAAATTTTAATTTGGTCCAGAAACATATATATTCAGTTTCCACATTAAACTTCTGTGCACATTTAGCGCAGGCCTTAGAGTTGGGGATGAACTTCTGCACTGAGGATATGAATGCAGTTCTAGCTGCAAAATTGAAGAAAAGATTGGGTTTTGGGATGTGGGCAAAAATGCACTTGTTAGGCATGCATGTTGAGGGGAAGGTAATCCTGGAAAAATAACTCTTACCTCATACCAAATGTACTCCTTGTTATGTTTACAAAATTGTACTCATTGTTATGTAGGTTTTGGTAGGTGTGAAGTTCCTTCCCAATTGGCCATTTATTGACCGTTTGAGGGTTTGTTTTGCTGAGCCACCTTATTTTCAGATGACTGTGAAACCTATCTTCACTCATGGACTAGATGTTACAGAAGTCCCAGGGATTGCTGGATGGCTGGTAGTGCATTTAAGCTTTGCTTTATCTTCCCTTTATGTTTCATATCAGTTTTGTGTATTTGTTGAACTTCTATGTATGTTTATTTAGGACAAACTTTTGGCCCTTGCTTTTGAGCAGACTCTTGTTGAGGTATGAAGTTGTTTCTCTTTATATTAGCATAATAGCATGTCATCTCATAGTCTCCCCTCAATATCCCCCCCCTGATATGTTTGTCAGAATAGTGCCACACTGGCACATTCTATGTAGCTTTCTGTTTCTACACTCCATGTGCTTTAATATGCCAGGATGCTACGAAGTTCAAAGAATATAAGATGAATGACACCCATAATTGTTTTGCAGCCAAACATGCTAGTTGTTGATGTAAAGAAATTTGCCTCGCCACAACCAGGTACAAGAGACTACTAATTCTTTGCAGCCTGCCTTTTGCATTTTGTATTGGCTTACACAAACACATATGCATATAGCTATGTGTATATTTGCGTGTGTTCGGGATTTTTGTTCAAATTAAAAGTTCTGATTAGGTGAAAAATGAGAAGTAATCCGCACCATTCATTAGCAAAATGGAAGGATGAAGTTAGTTTCAAGGCCCAAACACAGTAGCAATATTGGAAACATGGAGGACTTTTGATTAGAATGGGGTGGCAAAAAGTTCATCATTGTATGCATAAAGTACACCTAGTATATTACAAAGTCCATGCGTTTTGGTGACCATCCATTTTTAGGTGATGAAAGGTCAAGATTGTTCTCAGTCTTCGTGGGAAAGTAGTTTACACTTTGACCCTCCCCCCACACGCGTATTTTACACACACACATATTTATGTATGTGTATCTGTGTGTATATATACATACATTTTTACATATATATATATGTGTGTGCGTGTGTGCATGTGTGTTTGTAATTTAGCATAGGAATTTTCCTAGGATTGATGGTAGTTTCTTCCTTCCCTAAAACAGGTTTTCTTATGTGGGTATAAAAGTCAGTAAGGCATCTTATGTCCCCCCTTTTTTGGCTTATCTTCAGACAACTGGTTCTCGGTTGATGCTAAGGAAACTGTCGCAAATGTTGTTGTGCAAGTTTTTGAAGCAGCTGATTTGAAGCCATCTGATCTTAACGGTTAGCACACTCTATTTATGAGTAAACTGAATTTAAATGATAAAAGTATTTTCTGGTAATGAAAAAAGATGGATCATTTTCAGGATTGGCTGACCCATACCTGAAGGCGAGACTTGGGCCTTACAGCTTCAGGACCAAGACTCAAAAGAAGACACTTACTCCAAAGTGGCAAGAGGAATTCAAAATCCCAGTTTTTTCTTGGGAGTCACCAAATGATGAACTCAAGATTAAAGTTTTTGATGAAGACCGCTTTATGGATGATCCATTAGGGTTCGTCCCCCCCCCCCCCCCCCCCCCCCCCTTTTAATGCTTTAAATATCCCATTTTTTCGTTTTCAGAAGTTTTCCAAGCTAACCACCATAGGGGTACTAGTTGTTAAATCATAGTTGACCGATATTATTGCATATATTTTCCTTTTTGTGGGTAGTGATGGAACTGCTTTTGGTTTATTCAAGCTTTATGGTTTATTAGCATTGGTCTATTTCCCCATCATTATGCAAATAATAATACCAAGCTTCAATTACAGAGATTGCTGCATAAAAGTTACCGACTTTAGAGATGGGCAACGGCATGATATCTGGTTGCCTCTTCAGAATATCAAAATGGGAAGGCTACATCTTGCAGTAACCGTGTCTGAGCACGACAATGAAAAAAAGGTACATCTTTTCTCGATATTAAATTGTGGGTCAAACTGAGACTTGAAAGGTTAAAATTCATCACACTAGATAACAATATTTTAGGTGTGCAATATTTTTTATTTCAAGTACTTGTTTGACAGCTATCATCACCTTTGGTGCAGAGGAGAGAAATGAGTATTTGGGGTAGGTTTGCAAAAAATTAAAAAAAAAGTGATTTTTCAGCTTTTGACTTGAAAAAAACTAACTTTTGCTATAAAAAACTGAATCAATTTTTTCTCTAACACTACCAGCTTTTACTATTAAGCATTTTTTCGAAAATCACTTTAAAAAGTGATTTCTGTAAAGCATAAGCAATTGCAAATACTCCATTATTCTCCTTGGAAAATAATGCGACTCATTGTAGTGTTGGATGGTGGGATAATATCATATGGAACATGTATACTAGTGTTCGGTCCTCATTTCAAATAAAGGAATATAGTGACAAGAGAATATAGTGTAAAGAGCTAAACAATATCCCCATTTCAAATAAAAATATTGTCAGTTAATTAATTAATTTTCAGATTTTGGTCCTAGAACATTTTCCTCTTTTCTTCAATCAACATGGGGAAAAACAATACGGGAGGGGCACAGGGAAGTTTTATTCCCACCAAAAAACAAGGAAGAAAAGATACACATCAACAAAAAATGAGAGTATTTGTCATTGGGAATAAGTAAACGAGGAACATAATATTTTCTCCATCCAACCAAATGGGCTGTTATGATGGAATAAAGCAAAATGGTTCACTAAGCTGTCTGCGCTTCTTTGTTATGAAGTAGCAGTTAGTCCATGCAATTTTGGACGCGATTTTCATTACGGTCATTCGGAAACAGTCTCTAAGACATGAATAATAATTTACCAAATGAGCTGTTAATATATTCAATATATATAAGCCTCTAAGACATGAATAATAATTTACCAGGATGGAGAACAAATCTGTGACGAAGCAAGTGCTGATGACGAGAAGAGCGGAGACTTGTTTGAGAATGATGGAGCTGATGTTGGAGGCTTCTCACCTGAACAACCCAACAAATCCCAGAATGCTGGAGACAAGTATGAGCCCATTGATGTCGAAGGGAAAGAAGAGACCGGGATATGGGTCCATCACCCGGGGGCTGAAATTGCGCAAGTCTGGGAGCCAAGGACGGGTAAAGGTAGGACCATTGATGGCGAGAAGTCTGGTTCACTGGGGGGGAGTTTCAAGTCAAACACCGGGGGAATTGATGAAAATGATAATGGACATTCATCGAATCGGTTCCGTAGGGGGTTGAGTAAAATTAGTTCAGTTTTTCACAGGAGTCCCAGATCTCATCATGATATATCAAACAACAGTCTTGGTGAGCCTGCCACACCTCCACATATAAATCTTAAGGCAGTAAATGCAAAGAACATTGGCGTAACATATGTAACAGATGGTGCAAATGCTGCTGCTCAATCCCCTGCAAGATTGAAATCAGAAGATGGTAAAGAATCTCAGGAGGGAGATGAACAAGACAGTCCAACCAAGCGGAAAATGAAGGACAAAGCTAAGAACATGTTGAAGCATGTGGGGAAATCTGCTCACGGCATAAAACATGTTCTTTCTCATAAGGGATCAAGAAAATCAAAAGCCGAGCCTGCTTTGGTGTCCGATTCTTCGGATGAGTCATCTGTTGTGTCATCTGATGATTCCCCACAACAAGCTGTTCATGAAATTGCATCCAAGAATAGGAATTCAGTAGATGGAGTTAGCCCTTGAAGATAATCCCATTCCAGGTGACCGAAAACTAAATGAATTGGAAAATGTTACACCTCAATGATGGCATGAGGCAATCAAGACAAAAAATGTACTTAGGGACGGTTTCTCATGTACCTTTAAATAGGTTAAAATGTAAATAAATTAATGGTTTTTATACATCTTCCTCGAGTGATTCTGGTGCTACAGCAATCAATAGTTATGCCTTTTCTTTGTAAGATGAATTTTTTGTTTGCCTGTCCCAGCCAAAGGTATATCTTGATATCAGTTCTTACAATTTGCCTGCTCTAAATTACTCAGGTAGTGGTATTGTTTATAGAATTGATGTGTTAGTATATACTCCGTTTTGGTGTAGCCACATTTTCCTCAACATTGATGTGTTAGTTAGTAATATACCTGGAGTACATTAAATGGGGTTGGATTTTAGATAACGTAGAACCTCAATTGCAGCATCAAAATACAAACAGTAGAATAACCAAGTTCGGCCTTCATCGGTTATAGGTGCAAGGTAAATCAACTGCTGTGCCAAGAGTATGATTTCTGGGGATGCTTAGCATTCGTTTACCCGGCCCGGGCAACAGGGCATACTCATGTGGTCTCAAAGACGTGAGAAGCATACAAACAATTAGATGGCATTTCCCCTACTGTTTTCAAATAAAAAAGACTCCTCAACCAGTCCAACTGGCTGTACCAAGCAAAATGTACAAACAAAGTGAGGGCAAAAAAAAAAACAAAAAAAAGTGAGGGCATTCCATCATATTTACTGAAACAGACCCAAATACCTGAACATGGAAATCAAAGTTTACAACGGTACACGTGTAAAACTAGATCATACTACAAGATAGATGCTATATAAATCTCTGTAAACAAAGAGACTTATATTGACAACAACATCCTGTATAGTAGGACTGTAGGAGTATGCTTGAACTTCATTGTATTTCTTTTTTCCAAATGATGTGTGCTGAATAGAGAAATCTGGACAACTTTGCTCTTCGTCCATTTACCCGAGCTGGAAAGGGTAGACAAATCTGAATAAAGAAACCAGGGCTACAGAAACGAAACTTAATCACATTGCAACAGATCTGGGTGAGTTGAATCATCTCTAGTTTATTCACTTTTCAATACGTTAGATCTAACTCATTTTTTAAATCCATCATCCCTGATTTGGGATGCATTTTTTATTGTTAACTGGTTGTGTCAATTTGATTAATGATTGAACTAAGTATTGGTTTTTAATGGCTCGTAATATGATTGATTTCTTTTCAATATCTTAAATTGTGATTTCTCTCATTATCAGCTTGTTGAATTTCTCAAACTCAAAATCATGATTGTTCATGAAACATTTGTTTAATTTTTTCTTACCAAGTCATGCTTATAGTTAGAGTTTATGAATTACTAATTTAGTATATATTTATTGATATGTAAGTTAAGGAAACTTATCTTGAAGGTGTTATCTTCGTACAATATTTGATAAAAAAGCAATTACACCTGAAAAAAAGTTGGATAAAAAGTGGCAATTATGTTTGATTTGAGAATCTTGAAGTAGAGATGACAACGGGACGTATCAGGAACGGTTATACATATAATTGTACCTGCCCTGTTGGGTAATGTTCATGCCTCGTAACCGCCCCATTACCCAATGGGTAATTTTTATGCAAATCATAACTGGTCCAACGGGTAACGGGTATAACCGTGGGTAACCACTTTATTAAATTTGTCATTGATATTTTGATATAAACATTAATATTTTAAAAGACAGAAAATATTACTTCCTCCGTCTCTTAAAACTTTGCCAACTTTCCTTTCTTGGATGTCCCACTAACTTTGCCACTTTGTATTTTAAGTAAAGAATTTGTGGCTACAATCAATTCTCTCCTCTGCACAAACCTCTACCACACAGTTTTTACTTTATTAATCACCGTGCCGGTCAAATTTTACAATGTTTTAAGGGAGGGAGGGAGTATTGCCTAAATGACTGTAGACGTGACATGTCATTTAAAAGTTTCGTGCATCTACAAGACAAGAAAAAAGGCAACCTAAATTAATTTGAACATAAACTACTTAAATTGAAAAATAATTGATCAAGAAAAAATGAGAAGAATCAAACGAAACCATTAAAATTTATTATGAACTTTCATTCATGTATTATACGGAGTACGTTGTAACCAGTGCATCCATATATACACAACGAAAAGAGAAAAATCTCATATTTTATCAATTGAAGGGCAAATAATATGAAAAAGTGTAATCAAAATATAATTAAAAATAAACGGGGCGGGTACGGGGCGGATAATGGGGCGATAGCGTAGTAGAGTTCATATCCATAGGGAAATGAATAATTCTCTTTTTATGAACAATTAATTAAAGTGAGGTTTCCATGTTTAATGATTTAATTTAATTTAAACAGTAAGATGAACAACTTATATGTGATTTAATTCAAAGATAAAAAAACTTGGCTTTGCTACTTTCCACTTGTTGATATATTTAGTCGATCCTTGTTATATCTATCACTTATCCCCTCTCGAATACTCAATCGAGGAGTATATCCAAATCATCGAGGGTAGTTATTAACAACGACCGTTCATTAACAACCCTTACTATTAATCAAATATAGAACAACGCTGTATACCGATTTAATAGTAGCATTTAATCTTTTTAACTCATTGATGATATCAATTGAGATTGATAACATCAACACAACGGTTTCGGTTTAACCAACAAAATCAATCCCTCTTAAGTCTATTAACCACGACCGTGCATTAATAAATCGAAGTTATTTACTTGTGAACCCATCAACGATTAACCATCGGTTCATTGATCGTTTCTAGTAATAATTAATGTCGAAGTGTTAACTAATCGTCACTTAGCAACACCCCAACATTAATATAGAATATAGAATGAGATTAAGGGAAGAATTAATATTCAAGAAGAGAAGTTAAGAAAATAACTCAAAACTTTAATAATCAACAAGCTTTAAGAGCAAAACCAAGAAATGGAAGTTTAGCTCCTCATTTGGAGACTAAACATTGCTAGAAAAAATATAAAAAATGCTATTCTAAACTGAGCTTAAGAGTATAGAAGAAGGAATGGAAATTAATGAAGGAAACGTGTGTTATTTATAAGTGTTTTTCAACACCTTTGGCCGGGTACCCGACCGGGTATAGTGCTTAGCCGACTGGGTACCGGTCAAAATCGGATCGATGCGCCATGTTCTTGTGGTTTCTGCACGTTCTTTGGTCCGGGCCACATCATACCCGACCCGGTAAAGTACCTTACCTGACCGAGTAAGTGTGTAATTTCCCAGCAACTTCTGTTTTCTTATCATACCCGGCCGGGTAAAGTATCTACCCGACTGGGTAAGTCGCCTTGGCAGTTTTCTTCACTTGAAAGTTCTCTTTTCCAAAACTACAAATCCTAACTCAATTTGCAACTTACAAATGAAAGCTAAAATACAATTACTAAAATCACACAAATGTTACAAACTAAATAAAAATGGTAAACAATCCACACAAATCAAACATAAAAACATATATTTATGCACTACTAACGAGTTCATATCAAACATCCCCACACTTGAACTTATACTCGTCTCGAGTAAAACAAATCCTGTCCATGCAGTCCTCAATGTCAACAGAGTAGTAAAAAAAACCATCCACAAATATTTTGACAATCAACATTAAATGTTTTCATGATCAAGAATAAAAAAAATTGGTGGTCTTCAATTTCATCTCATCTAATCTCCTCTTTCCTCCTCATGTGTACCCTTAGAATCCTGCAAAGGTAAAACAAATACTTTTTCTCAATCTCTCATTTTGCCTAGGTGCCCTTTCGGGTTTTCATCCCAGCTTCCCACATTTTTCTTTAAAATCCTCACAAACTCACTCTTATTTTTGCTTTTATTTTTGCTTAAGTTGCCCTTTGTGGGTTTTTAACTTAACAAGCTTATTATATATTTGTTTTCATTTTTTTGGTGTTTTAAGAGCAAGCATAAAGAGTATGATTGTGAGCATACCAGAATATTTCCTCCCAGCTAGTCCATGGCACTGTCCCTAGTGCCCGCTTGCATCACCTCCGTCAAAGTATCCTCCATAGCCATAGTAGCAACCTGAGTATCTGTCCTCATCCATGCTCACATCGCCGCCATCACCGCCTCCCCCACCTGAGCTCGAACCACCAAAAGTAACCCATGTTGTGGGGTCATACCAAGAGGGTGGGGGAGGAGTGGCCATAGAAGAAAAGGAACCCTGATGTGCAATGTAGGAATATATAGGACCATATGTCCTCCTTTGGTCCTCTTCGTACCTCCGCCAGTCCTCTTCGTACCTCCGCTGGTCCTCTTGCCTTTGCTCCTCCAACCTCTTGAAGCTCTGCATGTGCTCAGTACGAAACAGTCCAACTTCCTCCCAAAGTTGAGTATAGTTCAGGTTTAGTGCGTTCATGCTATTTAGCATTTGTTGTTCAAAGGGTGTGGATTGGTGGGCGGGAGCATGGGGCTGTGGTTGTTGTTCGGGACGAGGTGGTGGTTGTTCTATGGCGGCGTTGTCTTGGTCTGCATTATCCCCCGGTTCATTGTCTTGGTGTGCATAATGCGGTGGAATCCCCTCGGGAAGACACTAATGGTGTCCATCACCGATGTGGTGATCAATGATGTTAAAAGGGAGATCATCGGAAGGGAAAGGTAAGTAGAGTTCTTGGTCGGGTTTGATGTGCCAATGGTAAATCTCCAAGCCATCAAGTTACGTGTGGGAGAGGGTCACATCCTTTGCGTTGAGTAAAATTTTAAGCCAGTAAGGGTTCTGTGGGTTCTTGCTCCGTTGCATACAAAGCCATATAGTGTGGCAATGTGGGTAATGAGACCCCCCCACCAGGATTTTTCCACCACCATTTTTGACATTGATTATGTGATCCCATAGGACTGTGGTGACATCATATGTATCAGCGCATGGAAGAACAACTTATGCTAAAAGGCATACATCCCAAACTCTAGTTTGATGGTGGTCCGGTCTCCCGTAAAAGCAATTTGCCAAGAATTTTAAGAAAATTCGGAAGACCGGGTGTTGGACATGGTTGACATTAAGGTGGGAAGTACTAAAACTGATAAGTCCAGTCATTCTTCTCCAAAGCTCATAGGCCACCGGTGAACTATACGTGACCACTTCTTCAAACAAGGGTAGGCCAAAATGTTCGACAAATTCTCTTTTAGTTAGTGAGCGGTTCTCGTTGAGCAAGCGAAAGTTGATTTTGTTGTTGGTGTGATCATTTTCATCTTTCACATGCTCAACGGAACTATAGAACTCATAC